CTATCGTTGTAAGGATTTTAGTCTCGAACAAGTATCGGGTCTGGTGGGGGTCCGGACCCCCGGACCCTCCCCCTGGATCCACCACTGCTTTGGTGCCCTTTGATATCCTTTCTACAGCATTCGGTATAAATTCGAACACACCAATTGCTAGCTATAGATGCACGTTCTGAACTTGAAACACAATCATAATAATCAGCAGATAAAATAAAAGAAGTGCACAGCGCCCCTCGAGCAAAAACAGGGGAAAAAGGTATTCTTTTCTTTAACTAGTTGCAAAAGATACATACCAAAGCTTGTTTTATTTCATAAATGTTTTAGGGCACAGCATAAAAGAATTTCTTCCCTCCTTCCTAAATGCGCGGGGCAGAATTACGTGACGTGACATGCTTTGCATGACTCCACTGAAAGCTGGTTTGCCTGTGGCAGTTCGACAGTTGTTTTCGTTCACTGCCGTGGCGGCAAGTGAAATTGTTACAGTTATAAGTTCAAATTCTTCATTCATTTCCTTCTGGAGGTCTTTCCGAGGAATCGTCTGAGACGTTCTTTGGACTCTTAAACTAACACAGTCTCAGGTGGGTATCGTTAGATTAAAAAATTGTTAATTCGTTAAATCGCATAAATCGCTGCGTAAAATTCAGAAAACGGAACAGAGTACTCGTGACTTTTGTTGTATTTTTTACCGCTTTGTGGACTTTTTGACACTTAATACTTTAAGTCAGCTTTATTTAAAAAATCGATACACATTTCGGACCAATATTGTCTCAACAAGAAGTTACCGAATGATTAAAGGTTTGGCGCCTACCGTAATTCGCATTTGGTTGTGCTTCGGTCAGAGGTCACGTTTTTTCGCCCGTTTTTAGTGTAATATTTACATTTGTTTGGCTTTGTCAGCGCTCGTGATTTCATTTACCCAAAAATTATATTTCGCTAATTTGAAGAGAAAAGAATGCTCTTTCAGACTAAACAAGCCTTGCTGTTCAAAGCCATGTACCAATCCGCTTTTTTAGCTCGTGAAAAAGTGCTAAATTTTGACGGTTGATTAAGCGATTTTGAGTCAACAACTTTGAAAATTTCTAAAAATCTCTTGTTGACCAAATCGCGAACTAATCAGTTAAAATTATAGAGAAAAGATAGAAAAAATATGAAGTGTCATTATATTTTAGTAGCCAACTTTATTTTAAAATTTACGAGTTACTGAATATGACTCAAATTTCGCATGATTTTTGCCCATTTTAGGCCTCGGGAAGAAAAAAATTCGTTAAAAAAATATTATTCACTCGATCGTACTTAAACCAACGATTTTGTTACTAGGGCCCATAGGGCTTTATTGTTGCTGAGTTTGAGGCCAGGTCATTTTTTTTTTACTATTTCCACGTGTAGTTGATATTTACGCGGAGCCGCTCTTAAGCTTATTTACTGGTTTATAGGCTCAGACTTGCGGGTATCTTCTGAGATTGCAACCAATAGTAGATTATAATCTGCCATTTTGCGTATTTGCATAATTACTGGCCGTGTCAGGTGGAGTCTATCTTTTTGTCGAGGGTCGAGGATCGAGGGTCGAGGGTTCCATGTCGAGGGTCGACGGTACCATGTCGCGGGTAATTTTTGTTTTTTTCAATTTTTCATTAAGGAAATGTGTTGTTGTTGTTGTTTAATTAAAATAGTATGTAAAATAGTAAAAGCAAAGAACCTTCTCCCTTCCTGTGAAGTGAGACAGGTTATGCCTAAAAAAATATTTGATAGAGCTTAGGCAGGGACACCCAACGACTGTTTTCTGCAAAATATCTGTTCGGAGAAGCAAAAATTGCCTACAATTTTCTATTACTTGAGGAAGGCTAAAAATGTCTAGATTTGAGACAAGCCGATCCTCGTCTTCGCTTTTTTCCCTCATGACGGTTTACTCTTCTATGTTGCTAAAACAGCTGGGTTTAGATTGAGGTCGTTCTCATACTAGGCTTATGTGAACCTTTATGCTTAACTTTCCAGGTTAAGGCGAGATTGTGTGAATTTTGTTTCTAGTACTTATGACCGTACTGACTTCACAATGCCAAATGTTTTGTCCATATTTTCAATCGTTGTTTTTTTCCAAATAGTTGCAAACAGACCACGAGGTGTGTGAGACAAAATGACAACCCGTACGGAAATATGATTTTCTCCATTTTATTTTGTTTTGTTTTGTGTACAAATCTTTGCTGTAACGATTGAATAATCATTCCTTCAAATGAAAAGACGTTTCAGCCTCAAATGAGGATTCAGGTGTTTACAAAGAATACATTGCTTTTTTTTTCTTATTTTTCTCCTAAATGCCTTGTTATTGTCCGTTTGTACTAACGATTGGAGAGGGGAAGATTGGAAAATACAATGAGGGGGAAAAAGGACAATTTTGAGCTGTTTCATATTTTTGGGCAGAATTCCTTCTTAAAGAAGTTTTAGGTCTCTCAGCAAACAAAGAAACCACCTTCATGCTCGATAATCTTTCAAGTTAAGGGAAAGCTGTGAATATGAGTGCCTGAAACTGAAAGAGTTTTCTTTTTCTTCTCCTTTTTATAGCCGTATGACTTTTACACTTGCAAATCAGTGACTTAAACCATATATTTTCAAAGTCAAATAAATTAAATAATTGCAAATGGTGTGGTTTGAAAACACGAGGTGTGTGAGACAAAATGATGACTTTTCCGGAGATATAATTTTCTTGATTCTTATTTGTTTTGTTTTGTGTACAAAATCTTTGCTGTACTGCACTTAAGAATTCGCTTATTCGCTTTGCTGACCGCGTGGTAGGGGAATGGGACTGGTGTGTAGGCGGAGGTTTCATTTCATGAATTTTACACTTTTTTTTTCTATTTAATTTGTTAATTTGTAGTTTTTTGTTTTATTCTCTTATTTTTTCTATTCCTTTTTTATACCCGTGACATTTACCCGAGGAGATTTGTATTTCATAAAGTTAATATTTTACAACTTTTTTTTCTATTGCTGGTTTTCACATGACGTCACTAAGATTCAAACGACAAAACTATCGATGCTACCGAGATTTTACTTTCACGATGTATTACAGTAGCTGAAAACTAATTTTCATACAAATTTTCTTTCTTCAAAAGGGTTCTTGGTTTTGTGATAGAGTACGCTTGAATTTCTAAGCTTTTGCGTGACGCAGCATTTACATGACGACAAAGAGAGCTATCATGAAGGTTAAAAAAATGACTTATTTCAAGGAATTTTGCTATCAAAAAAGTTCATGTATTAGAAAAGTATTACTTAAATGTTTATGAGTTCTTCGAAGGATAAATTCACGCTTTTGTAGCAAAACTCGGTAATAGATGTTTCTGTTGGTTTCCGTCCGCCATGTTGGTGCTCATCCGGATGGGCACCAGCATGGCGTCTCCATACAAATCTCTATAAATTTGGGTAAAACGTTTCTTCCAATATCTCGTACACGAAATATTCCTCTGACCTGAAATTTGGGGACGGTCTTTGCATATATACCTCCTTTCATTTCCCAGATTCTGGGCTTTATCTATTGAACGGTTTTGCTTTTTATTTTGATCTATTTTGATGGTGTGACTCTGAAAACCAGGAATTTATTTATTCATTATTTTATTTTATTTTATTTTTTTATACTATTTTTTTACCCACGACATTTACCCACACCCACACCCACACCCACGACTCACGACCAACGACATTTAGGTACACTCGAGGCTTTTGGGGGGAGACAGTAGTCTTCCTCGCAGTCGCACGGGCCGGAGTAACGCGCGCAATGTTTCCCGTCCCTATGCTGCTGCCTCTTTTAGTTAAATGTTGACAGGCGTAAAACGTGGCCTTAAACGGCGGAGGTTTTTCCTTCTTTTGACTGTTTTCTTTCTAGCTCGTAGGTGATGCAGTGCATGGAGTTTTATATTTGAAATTTGACTAAGCAAACCTTATCTTGGTCGATCGGAGTCTCACTAACATTTTAATAGAGGTCATGAGGCAGGGTCTGGAAGGGGGGGTCCTGATCCCGCATTCTTCAGCCCGGCCAGAATTACAATAAAATGTATGGAACAGAACGTCGGTTTAACGAAATCCTCATAACGAACACAATCCAGAGGCGCAATCGCAAAATATACCTCGATATAACGAATAAATGTCAGCATGTGATAAAAGATGAATGCCAAACAGAACAACGAGGATAGATTTTATATGCACATGTACGGTAGTTGTAAGCAGTTTTGTTTGCCTGTTCTTGAGTTTGTAGGGCCGTAGCTATATACAAGCTCGACACTGAGACATTGTTCAGATCCGGGAATGCTGGATTTTGTAAATTAATGAATAACTTTACCTCGATATAACGAACATTTTGGTTGTTTTTCGAAAATTCGTAAAATCGAGGTGTTCGATATAACGAACCCTCGATATAAAGAACAAATTTCCTCAGTCCCTTGGCACTTCGTTAAATCGAGGTTCTACTGTATCATTAGCTTATGAGTTGTGTTTAGCCTAAACGAGGCGCTCATTGGTCCGAGCAGACTAAACCGCAAAACAATGGGAAAGGAATGTGTGACTGTGGAACATTGTGTGACTCCGGCGAAGCCCGAGCGGCTGCGAGAAAGACTACTGTTTCCAGCCAAAAGTCTCAGGCGAGTTCTTCTTTTTTGAACGGCAGTTCCCGGCCATCAACATATTAATATATATATATATTTTTTTAAAGCAAAAAAAAATGATTTTGTTAATGGCTTCACAACATTACATAAACATTACAATTTGATACTGGCGTTACAACTTTACATAAAAAGAAGCTACACTACACTTTATCCTGAAAAAGATAAATCAATATGTATATATACAAAATACAATATCAGACGGATAGAAAAAACGGGGGGGGGGGGGGGNACCAAATACTATAAGACATTAAAAAACGACAAAAGTTCCAAATTAATATTACATTCCATAAGCCAAGAACGGAGCACTACCCAGAAGGATCCTGTTATTTCGCAATTGTAAAAAAAATGCTCAAGGGATTCAATCTCGTTTTTACAAAAGGTACATTGTGGCGAATCAATCATCTCAATTTTAAATAACTTTTCATTGGTGAAAACAATGTTGTTCAAAACCTTATATTGGAATTCGCTAATTTTTGTTTCTAGCGGCACTTTAAATGAGAGAGAATATATTATGAAATAATATAATATGAACATCAGGAGATTGATCCTGAAACCTCTTTTGAGCAGATGGAGGAGTTTGTTTCGCCATTTTGAGTGCATTGCAAAGAGATTTTGACGTGGCCGAAGACAGATCGACATCAGCGTTATCAATTTTTGAGGTGGACCTTGTTCCTCAAGTCAGGACGAGTGTAATGAGCACTTTGTTTAACACGTTTTCTCCATTCAACAGGTACCGCGTCAGTAAGGCCCGGTTCAGACGCCGAACTTTTCATGAGCCGAACCTAATTCGAATTAAGGCCGACCCAAATTATTTAGACCGGCTGAATTGATTCAGACGCCGATCTTAATTCCAGCCGAACTAAATTCAAAAGGAGAAAAATGCTCATTTCGGTCAAACTACTTACAAAATACGTTAAAATAATTCATGCATTAGGTTCGGTACATGAAAAGTTCCGCGTCTGAATCAAAGCCGTTCCAAAGTCGCTCCAAAGGCGAAATTCCCGGCTGGGCCAGGCGAAAAGAACGGCTGAGCCGTTCCAAATTGAAACAGGCGTTCCTAATTGATTCAGACGCCGAACTTTTTATGTACTTAATTCAATGTATTAGGTTTGGCTCATGAAAAGTTCGGCGTCTGAACCGGGCCTAAGACCCATTAACTTAAAACGGTCAGTCGGAGAGAGGTCCCTGTTAACCCTTCTAAAGAAAAGATCGGCTACAGTTAAGATGTTTTCTTCTAGGAGATGCTTTTCAAAAACCGAATGCTTCTTGATGATAATGTGTTTATTGTTCCAAATTACTTGGTTCGCAACGTCCTCGTATGAAAGAATATTTTCTTTATTTAGCCGAGACCAGGAATCCAGACATTCTTTATAAAAATGCGAAAGGTAAATTGGACGTTTTTTTGTATCGAAATTACAGTGGAGGATGATTTTAACCCCTACACCAGACAGGAAATAATCCGGGGTTATTTTCCAAGAGCTATGGTTTTCCTCGTCTGCGTATTTTTTTAATACCATTACTCTCTGTGCGCAAATCATTGAATGGATATCTAACATTTTCAAACCACCATCATTAATATCATTAATTAGGGTAGATCGTTTGATTTTATCATTTCCTTTCCAAATAAAGTGATAAATCAACTTGTTGATTTCTTTGATCAACGCTGCTTTGCTTAGAAATTCCGGGATAATAAAAGACTTTACAATGTGAATTTTTCCTATCAGGGTACAGGCTCCTACCTTTCCAGCTATTTAAAGTTCCCTGGATTGATTTAAAGATGGACTCACAGTTGACCTTCAATCTAGCTGGGGTATTATAATTAAAATAAACTCCCAATATTTTAATCATACTACGTATTTTGTGAGTAAAAACATCTTGGACAAGACTGTGCAGACCAATAGCAAAATCTCTGTTTTTTCATCATTTACACGACGGCCTAAGTATCTAGCAAAATTTTGTAAAGATGTCAGAAGTTGAAAGTATGAATTGGTATCTCCAAGAAGCAGGTCATATCGTCGGCAAAAAGGGTCGTTTTGATTTCTTTCCCCTTAATGAAAAAGCCTTTAATACTTTTATTTTCTTGAATTTGACATACAAGCGTTTCCAACGCAAAAATGAACAATAAAGGAGAAATAGGATCACCCTGTCTTACCTCACGTTTACCAAAAAAAATATCAGTTGTAAAGCATTATTCAGTACACAGCCTGACAAGTTCCTATAGAAAGTCCTAATCCATTGAAGAAAATTTGGTCCAAAACCCATTTTCTGTAAAACCTGATATAAAAATTCGTGGTTCAGCGAATCGAAAGCCTTTTCAAAATCAATTGCAAGTAGAATGCCGGATTGGTTCATGATTTTGCCGATCTCAAAAACGTCATCGATAGTGCGTACCGCGTCTAAAATTGACCGTCCTTTTATGAAACCGTTTTGATTGGCGGGAATGAGTAATGGCATTACTGCTTCTAATCGTCTTGCGATAGTCTTGGACGCAATTTTCACGTCCAAATTAACCAATGAAATTGGTCTCCAATTTTGAAGAAATCTTCTATCTTTCTCCTTCTTTTCTAATTGTGTAATCAATGCTTGTTTTTGTGAACTAGATAACTCACCATGCTGATGAGAGTAATTTAGGGCATCTACAAGTGTTTTACTAAAAAGACGCCGAAAGCCCAGGTAAAATTCAACCGTTATTCCATATTCTGGAATGATTTCAATACTTCGTAGTATTCTTTCACTGTAATTTTTTCATCCAGCGCATCCCGTTGTTCTTCTGTGAATTTTTTTTTGTGTTAATTCCTGCCAGAAAACTATTTAAAGAGGAACTATCCTCCTCCGAGAAAGGTTTATCATAAAGCGTGGAATAAAAAGTATGAATTTCACCCATAATTTCTCTTGGATCAGTTTTGCTTCTCGTTTGCTTTACATAGATTTCTAATGCAACTGGTTTTCTTCCTTGAAGATTCTAAATTCAAAAAATATATTTTACTCTTTTCCCCCTGTTCATACTAATTTGCTCGTGATCTTATCATTGCTCCCCAAGCGATATAATCATACTGGCGGTCATACCCTGTCTGTAAAATTTCTGGATTGTTAAGGTTTTCTGCAGTAGGATCGTTGCCACATTTCATAGCATACTCCTGAGTATTCCTTTCCAGAGTTGACAACTTCTCCCTCCTTTCTTTAGCTACCTGTTTACTATAGGTTATAGTTTCGTTGCGGGTTTTATATTTTATGAAGTCCCAAAGGACCCGTGGATCTTGGGTTTCCGCACCTTCTTCTAGCATTTGTCATATTTTTCATTTATAAGCGCAACATACCTCTCATCTTCTAATAAACTAGCATTAAATTTCCAGTATCATGGACCTTTTGCAGTCTCGTCAATTCCATTTACATGCAATGTGATAGCCGAATGATCAGTCCTAATTGCAGGAACAATATCGACATTTTCAATTTCTTCTTGTAGATTACTAGATGTCAGCCAAAATTTAGTCTCCGCTGTATCAGTGGGTTATTTTGCTTCCATGTGAAAAGTTTGGATTCTGGATTTCTGATTCTCCAAATATCGATTAGGTCAAATGATGAACAGAGATTTTCATTTTTTTAACCTGCTATTTTAAGTTTCGGTTTACCTCCCAATCCATCCCCGTCACAATCCAGTAGAACATTGAAAATCGAAATTTTGAAAATAAGGCTGCTTGAAGAGCAGGAGAAAATTATTGCTTTGGAGACCTATTCTAGACGCGAGAATCTTCGATTCATGAATGTACCTGAACGCAATGACGAAAATTGCATGGATGTAGTGTATGATATAATTGAAAATGACATGAATATCAGTGTAGACGATATTCACTTCCATGCAGTTCATCGTGTTGGGAAACCGCGCTCAGAAGATGCCTCCAAAGCTTCCCGAGACCAATAATTGCACGCTTCCTCAGCAGGGAAGACAGAGACGCAGTTTTTCGAGAGAGAAACAGGTTGAAAGATTCATCGAGAGCTAAGGATGTATACATAACGCAAGATTACGCAAAAGCGATACAGCAGGAAAGGAAAGTATTAATCTAAGCAATGTTCCAAGCAAAGGAGCGAGGTTTGAGCGCAAAAGTTATCGATAGAAAGCTTATTATCAACAATGTTATTTACAAAGTAAGTAATATCCCTGAAGACCTTAGACCTCCTCAATCCAGTACACAGGCTTAATGGAGACATTTAATCTAAATTTTCTGTTTTTCCATTGTCACGCGAACGTACGGCTGCTTCCCGTATCAGACTAAGTTCTTCTGAGACTCCTTATGGACCCAACCAACGGACTTTTAATGTTTTGCTTGATTTATTTGTTTATTTTAGCCTCGTACCCTTCTGTTTTTGGTGGCA